TTACATGTAAAATTGAAAGAAAGTATTGATAGAAATTTTGCTATGTACCTCTTGAAAAGTTTTGTAAGATGATTACTAAAGGGGAAGGGAGGGGCAAAGGGTGGCGGGGAAAGGGTGGAGAGGAAGAAAAAGAAAGGAGAAGAGGAAAGGAGGAATATCTAGGAGAAGGAAGAGGGAGGAAGAGGAAGGGGAAAAGGAAGGGGCAAAGGGTGGCGGGGAAAGGGTGGGGAGGAGGAAAAGGAAAGCAGAAGAGGGAAGGAGGAATATCTAGGAGAAGGAAAGAAGAAGAGGGAAGGAGAAGGAAGAGAGAGTAGGAGCAAAGGAAAAAGGGAGGGGAGAAAAAAGAAGAAGGGAGAGGGTGGTGGCTGTGGGTAGGGATGGGTGTGAGTGGTAGTTTTAATTTTTAAAAAGTACTTAAAAAAATTTTTAATTTTAAAAAGTATTCCAAAATATATTTCAAAAACCCCTCTAAAAACATCACAAAAAACATTGATAATAAAAATTTTTCATATACACTACTATAGTATAATATTCAAAAAATATTTTTAAAAGTAGTTAATCCAAATGGAGCGAATAAATTTGAATTCCCAGATTCCACTATTTTGGTACGTTAAATCCCTTCATCTCTGAAATATTGTGACATATCATTTGAACACCTTATGTCCGTCAATTCATCAACATTAATTACTATCCATAAAAGACAGAGGATGATCAACATTAATTACTATCATTATTCTAAAGCAGAGAGTTCTACACGCCTACTATAGGCATGTTGTTGGGTGTCAAATTCATACGTCAACCACAATATTAGCAGGCACTAGTTCGGCAAAGCCAAGATCTAGCTAGGCTTCGGCTAAAGACTCAAGAAAGGGATACGGGGCCGATGACTAGGGCCCCACATATAGCATATTCTTTAAAAATATTTTCCATTATTTGATGCTTTTCACTAATAAAATTATTTAAATATAGCAAAAGAAAATAGGGTGTGGTCTTTATGCAAAATTCTGATTATGATCTTTGTTGGCCAGAGGATGGATTTTTTATATGTAAAATTGAAGAAAGTATTGATAGAAATTTTGCTATGTACCTCCTAAAAAATTTTGTAAGATGACTACTGGAAAATATGCATGAAATAATTAATAAAGGAAAAGCATAATATAAAAGTGGTATATACTCTTTCAAATTTTGGAAGAATGCAAAGTGAAGGGGCAAACCCTGGTGGTCTTCATTCACCAATCGACACTTCAATTATTATTAATGACATTTTATTATAATTTTAGCAAATAGAACATGGAAAAAATAGAGTGCCATTAACAAAAAATTTGAACGTCAATTGTTAGCCATGAATTAAGGTTACCGAATTTTCTCAGTTAAAGACACTAGAAATTATTTCAAATTTCTCGCCATAATATCCGAATTTTCCCAATTCTTTTTCTCCTACTCTAGTTGTCCAATATTTCCAAAACATGGACATACTCGATCACCCCTTTTCATTTCTTCCTGACTGAGATTTTTATTTTTCTGGTGAATATATTCTCTCATTGACATTTGAGAATTGAAAAAACTAAATAAAAACATGGGCAAATTCCACTTTACCTCCCTATGGTTTAGCATTTTTTTACATAACCCCCCTATGATTTCAAAAGCTATACATAACCCCCTTATGGTTTGGATTAAAGTGTCAAAGTAACGGAAATAATCACTCGTAACGGCGTCACCTAAAATGTCAAAAATACCCTTATGTAAGGTTGAAATTTATGTATTAACCAAGGGGGGTTATGTGTATATTTTGAAAATCATAAGGGGGTTATATGGTAAAGTATTAAACTATAAGGGGGTTATATGGTAAAATATAAAAATTATAGGGGGTTAATGTGTCATGTATTTATAAGGGTAATTTCGACATTTTTAAAAGTTCCGTTACAAGTGACTATTTCTGTTACTTTGACACTTTAATCTAAACCATGAGGGGGTTATGTATAGCTTTTGAAACCATAGGGGGTTATGTAAAAAAAGAGTAAACCACAGGGGGGTAAAATGTAATTTACCCTAAAAACATTTATATAACTGCTAGGGAAGTGCATCTTGTAAGTGGTTGAGGGAAGTGCAAAGCAGCTAGAATCTTGAATTTGATTGAGATGGCTCTTAAATCATCAGTAGCTTCTTTTCTTTTCTTTTGTCCAACATTTTCGCCAGCACAGTATTCAGTCCAACATTTTCTCCTCTTTGAAATTTTAAAGCAATTCTGATCTACAGTTCCATATTGCCATTCGTTTCATGATGCTTGGGTAAAATACAGCAACAGTTGACAGAGTGGTCGATAAATTGAGACTCAAAACTAAGAATAATTACTAGCAGAATATCATTCTCATCTCCCCAGTTTCCAAATGTATAATCAAATTTTGTAATCTCAACAAGCTCACTTTTTCCAAGATCAATCCTACCTCAAAGCATAGATTTAATTGGACTCATATGATACATGAAACCAAGAGATTTCTAACTAAGAATTTTGAGATAAAAAATTTTGGTGATGCATCTTTTGTGTTAAGCATACAAATACATCGGGATCACTCTCAGGGTATTTTGGAACTATCACACAAAGGCTATATCGAAAAGGTTCTTAAAAGATATGTTATACAAAATTATAAATCAAGTGATACCTCTGTGATTAAAGGAGACAAGTTTAGTCTTTAGTGGTGTCCTAAGAATGGTTTTGAGGAAAAAAGATGTAAAAGATTCCCTATGCGTCAACAGTGGGGAGTTTAATGTATGCTCAAATTGTACGCGTTCGGATATTGCATATATTACCGGGATATTGGGTAGATATTTAAGTAATTTTGGATTAAATTATTGGAAAGCAACCAAACAGGTCTTGCGGTATTTGTAGAAAACAAAAGACTATATGCTCACGTATCGGAAGTCAGATAAACTCGAGATCATTGGATATACTGATTCCGATTATACAGGATGCCAAGATGCTATGAACTAAATGTCAGGATATATCTTCTTGTTGGCTGAAAGTGTCATATCCTAGAAGAGTGCTAAACAGTCTCTTAGAATATCTTCAACTATGACCGCAGAGTTTATAACTTATTATGAGGCGTTATGGTCCCCAAGTCATAACAGAAATATTATTTATAAATAGGGTTATGGTCCCCAAGTCATAAGTATTTTTATTGTCGTATTTTCTAGTACCACAAAATAATTCTTTCCTGATATCCCATCGTTAACAAAAATACTAGAGAGAAATTAAAGGACTCTCTCAAGGATTGACAAATACGTGTTGACCTAAAAGACCATGCCAAAATCTCTAGAAATTCAAGTATCAGTTTGCCCAATTGATGAAATAGTGTTGTGTGTGAGTGGAAGATGATAGTTTAAAGCGATTAATCCCTCTATTTATAGAGTCGCGCAAATTGTAAGATTTTAGTTCTCTTCTCCACTTGGGATGTACCAATAAATAAAAAAAAACTAGGCACCATTTAGAGAAAGTTAATTTAGAAGAAGAAAGTCAGTTCTGCAACTACCATACCAGATTACTGCACTTACATAATTGTTTGAATTTCTTTTCAAACTTTTAACTTAGATCGATGAAATAAAGAAATGACATCCCTCCTCCATGTGTAATGCTTTTTGTCATAAAAGAGTGAACTCTTAAAAACCTAATTAATTTGCTGATTGGCAATAAACTCTGCCCCAACTTTTCGTCTTAGCCTTATCTTATCCATTAGAGAATCCATATTCATAAAGAAGCGACTTCTTTGACCAAACTTAAATTTTACCACAAGAATTGACTTTCTTTCACAATTTCTTTTTCACAATCTTTATTTGTTATCATCTGCATTGAATAAAGAGAGACAATTGATTTGACCTGCCACTTGCTTTCAAAGTATTAATGGCAATTAAGAATGCATACTAATTCGGCTAATGAGTTACAGAAACACCACGTAATTGTTGTTTATCGGCCAATGAGTTATAATCAATCTTTATTTGTTTTTTTTCCAAGGAGAGTTATATGTTTTTACCAAAAAATATTGCCGGCTCTGGATGGTTTTTTTTTCCGTATTTTTTCAAAAATAGTTTAAAAAATAATTAAAAAACACAGATACGAATTGCCAAGTGAAAATTTTGTTTGACTAATGAACTTCTATTTTACTTGCAATTTCTAATTAAGTTCAAGGACAACCCACCCCTTTTTTTTATTTTTTTGAATCAAATGAAAGCCTTAACTAGGGGAGGGAGTGGTGGATTGGATGGTTCGAAGGAAATAGTATAAGTGAGAAATATTGAGTTTGAACCCTTCCACTTACACTTAAAATAAAACATTTAAAAAAATGAAATCCTTAGCTCATTCAAGTGCTATAAGAGGGAGCACCAAGAGATAAATTTAGTTAATTAAGATTTTTCATCATCTTCTTTTAACTGTGTCCTCTTAGGCCTTATATATGCGGAGCCAAGCCCAAATGTTTGATGCAAGCAAACAGTTATGAGAACAAGAAAATCATGAGTTCTATATCGAAGTAAAGCAGAAAAAGGGAAAAATTAATATATGAAATGAATACGTGAAATGAATAGCAATCCTTTTGTTGGACTTTTTTGCCCCCTAAAAAATATTCCTGCATGAGTGAATGCCTTGTAAGCAGATGATTTATCACTAAAATTCGGTAAAATGACTCTGCCGTTCACTAAAATTCATCACTAAGGAGTTTAATGATCTTTTTGGTCACAAAAAAAGTTTGATAACCAAAGGATGCTATTTTGAGTAGTTGAGCGATCATTCCGGCCGTTCACTCTATTCCCAATTAATCATAAAGTCAGCAAGTAGCGATCCACTCAATAAATCTTCTCACTACTCGCGAGGAAATGATCCCACTGAAGAAAGGAGAGCCTTGATGAAAGCTGCAAATGAGGAGACCTCTTGATGAACCCTTATCTTCGCAACCTTATTTTTATTTTTCTGCTCCTCTGCTATCAATCTATTGACCAAACAACTCACAGAAATGGATGTTCTTCCGGAGGACATCCTGATGGAGATCTTGGTGAGATTACCCGTGAAATGTTTGTTCCAATTCAAATGCGTTAACAAATCTTGGTGCTCTTTGATCAAAAGCCCCCGTTTCACGCATTTGCATGTCACTCGAGCCAAGAACGGCGATCAGGAAGGTGCCATCCTGGTGAAGCGCTTCATCAAGGATGAGAGAAAAATTGTTTTATCATTCCATTCAAGGGATGAATCTTTATCTCTCCAGGTTGTGGCCCCTGATTTTGAGGTGCCGTACTCAACATACGTCAATATGATTTTGGTCGGCACATGCTATGGCATAATTTGTCTTAAAAGTAATGAATCGGGTGGTATTTATTTGTGCAATCCTGCAACTCGAGAGTTTTTTGCACTCCCTGATCCTCCCTTTCGTTGCCCACAAGGGTATTTTTGCCAGGTGGGTGAAATGGGGTTTGGGTTTGATGCAATCAGTGACGATTTCAAGATCATCACTTTTACAGGAATTACTCCTAAGGAATACAATTATGATCTTAATTCCTGCAAGGTTGAAATATACAGTCTCAGTACTAATTCTTGGAGAGAACTCGATCCAGACGTCAAACTGCCGGAAGGGGTGTATAACCCGCGCTTCTCTGTTTTATTTAATGGATGCTTCCATTGGTGCACACCATTAATTACTGATTCTTTTGCCCTCCAGATCCTTTCTTTTGAATTGAGCACTGAGCAATTTCGAGAATTTCAATTTCCTGATGGAGCACCAGACACTGAAGGAGAATATGGCATTCAGAAACTCATTGTCTTGGACAATTCACTTGCCATGATATGGTATGACATTACAGGGAGTCAAATTTCGGATCAGCATTTCGACATATGGGTGATGATGGAGTACGGCGTGCAGGAGTCTTGGGTTAAAAAGTTTTCCATAGGACCACTCTCAGGAATCGACTGCCCGTTATCTTCGTGGAACAGTAATAAACTGCTTTGGGAAATGAGCAATGGACAGTTGGCTTCATGTGCTGTCCTAGGTGATAATCGAGGAAGTCTTACAAAATATAACATTCATGGGTTTCCAACCACCCTGCAAGCTGATATTTATCATGAAAGTTTGGTTGCTCTCGGTGAACTATGCGGTCGTCGAATGAACTGAACTGGAGATCAAATGGGGAATTGGAAAATTCATGCTCGTTAGATGAGTTTAATATTGGTCGTATTTTTTTGGTTTGATGCCTTAGCTTTTACAATAAGTCTTTTCATTTGAATCATATGTTAGAAATTTGAACTTTATGATTGTTACTTGGTGCATGTTTGTTCTCTGAACCTTCTTTGTTCTTGTTATATCAAAGTTAAAGAGGAGAAGAATGAGTTCCCCAAGGCTTCCCGTTGCCTAGAAAGTTGGACAAATTACACTTTATCCTCATGTGATTTAGTGTTTTTCTATATAATCCCTTATAGTTTCAAAATTTATACATAACCCTCTCATGATTTGAATTAAAGTGTCAAAGTGACGAAAATGATCATTCGTAACGGAGTCACTTAAAATATCAAAAATACTCTTATGTAAAGTTGAAAATTATTTATTAACCAAGGGGGATTATGTGTATATTTTGAAAATCATACGGGGGTTGTATGATAAAGTATTAAATCATAAATGGGTCATATGGTAAAACACAAAATCATACGGGATTAGTGTGTCATGTACGTATAAGGGTAATTTTGACATTTTTAAAGGTTTAGTTACAAATGATCATTTTCATCATTTTGACACTTTAATCCAAACTATTATGGGATTAAGTATAGTTTTTGAAACTATAGGGGGGTTATGTAAAAAATTACTAAATCACAGGGTGTAAAGTGTAATTTGTCCTAGAAAGTGTAATCGAATACTAGAAAATTCAGCCCCAATACAATTACTCTGTCTTTATTGCTGGTGACCCCTTTCGTTTTTGAAAGAGATGGGAGTTGTAGCATTGGAATGAGATATTTATCCCTTACATGTGCTTTGGAGTACTTTAGTAACCAGAATTTGCAACTGGCAAAATGAACCAGAATGGAGAATCAAGTAGCTTAGGAGGCTCTTGGTTCTTGCTTTGGAATTGGAAAGGGAAATGGAATGCTGGATAGAGGGCCCATTAATGAGGATTTTGGTCAATTTCTCCCAATTTAGTCGGGAATCATGAATGGCTAAATTTTAAGATATGATTTCAATATTTCAATTCTCATTGTATTGGATCAAATGCACAGTATTAAAATTATTGTAATTTCAAATACCAAAACCTCTGAACCAAGCGGTCCATTGATTTAATAGAGAAATGGGTTGGATGGTTGAGAACATGGGAGTATAAGTGAGAGGGTTCAAACACTTTAAAAAAAATTAACTAACTTTAGTAAATTGTGTGGACAACGAAAAAGGGATTTTGCGTACTGATATTTAACCATGGTTTTCAGCATTTGGAGTCACAGTATGAGTCTCGCTGGACTTCAGTTTTTCGAAGAGTGAAAACTTTCAACTTCTGCTTCTTTATGATTCTGTCGAGGGGATTTGGAAACCATGGACCAAGTTCTTTTCCAACATGTGCCTATGTCTGCCGCAAACATTGCCACAGAGGTCCTTATTTGAAACCACAAAATAGATTCACATATCAAATTAGTTAGAAATAAAATTTAGGAACTACATTGGCACTAGTACAAAAGTTTATAAACGAAATTGGCTATTTACCCAAGCCAATTTATCAAACTATCACCAATTTTGCCGGTCTTACGGAATGGCGGATTAGCCATTAAAATTTCTTGACTATCAATTGCATGTCTGCATATAGTTGATATATGGTTTAATTGTTTTTCTTTTTCATTTTTTCCTTTCTCCTATCAATTCATGCCATAGAAATCTCTCTCATATAATATTACCTTGTGGACCAATAATATCAACAGATTCAGTACTATTTTTGAACTTTACATGAGTCACAAAAATATCAAATTGCTACAAATGACAGTGGTTCTTATGAAAATACCAACCCAAATACAAATACACAATGCTATTAAACACTAAACATGTCGCTGTTCATCCTATTTCTTAACTGAATATGAGAGAATTTCCAAGTTGATGATGAATTTTAAAAAATTTCTGCAAAAGGGGTGTTTTAAGTGTAGAATTCCACCAATGCAGTGCCCCATTGAATTTCCAATCTGCAAAAGAAAAAAAAAAGGAAATTACTTCATACCTCGCATTAAACAGATGTGAGGCACGGAGCCTTTTATTTTTCAATCCAAGGCTCATGCGTTTCTTTTCTTTTCATTTTTTTGGGCAAAACTAAGCAGGCCGTTTCCTTTTGGAGTGTGGATTTTGTTTTTTCTTTTGTGAAATTATGGAGAACGAATTTTGATAGGTTGCAATTTGTTGCTAAATTTATAATTATTTGTCCCTTGACCTTAGCCAAATATTGTATTAATTGATGAATTCTACTCATATTTGGTTAATGGTCCTAATTGTGTCAAACATTTAGCAATAGATTGCCTAAACTTCAGCAGGAATATGAATGATTTACAGGAGTTGTAAATTGTTTGATTCTCTAGCCTATAAGTTCTTGGGCGCTAAAGCAAACATTGCAACTTAGCACATGAGCAACATGGCTCATGTATGGTACCATTTTTTCCCTTTTTGTTTTAATCAAACAAGTCACATGTTGTATACTTGACCACAGAAAAAGAAAACATGTTGACCATAAAATGTTGCTTGTTTAAAATTAAATAAAATACTAATGCTATTACACCTTTTACTTTCCCAACTTAACAATAGAAATCAGTTTATCAAACTATCTCCAATTTTTCCAGTCTTATGGAATGGCAGATTAGTCATTAAAATTTCTTGTTGCAAATAGTTGATATATGGTTTAATGGCTTTTCTTTTTCATATTTTTTCCTTTCTCGTGTCAATTTATGCCATAGAAATCCCTCCCAAATAATATGACCCTATGGACCAATAACATTAATAGATGTAGTACTGCTTTTGAACTTTATAGGTTTGGTTTGTTCTTCTACACAATTTAAGAAAAGTTAATTAATTTTGTTGGAAGAATAAATCTAGCGTATTATCTTTCTAAAATTCCCTTACATTAAATGGAGTATAACTAATTAGCTTTACATTAAATAAGTTTGGTTATACTCAATAACAACTTACATTAAAAATAAAGTATTTTAGAGAAATTATAAGTTAATTACATTCTTCAATTGAATAGTGGATTATAATTTAGAAGAATGAAAAAGTAAAATAAACCTAACAAAGTGGGACATAGGGAGTAAAATTTAATCAGCAGTTCTATAAATAGGCTCAGTTATCCCTAATAGAAGTATAATCTTCCACTCTCCACAACCAAAAATTTTATGTGCCAATTGCTATACTGTTGTTGGGATGATGGGCATAGTGTTTAAACTTGTCCTTCTGATTCTCATGCTTTGCCCCCTAACAATCAACTCAAGCTTTCAGTACCTTACTTTTGTGCAACAATGGCCGAAAGGCTATTGTACTGTTAATCCAGCTAATCCAAGCAGATGTCGAAGAAACCCTCTACCAACCGTTTTCACAATCCATGGTCTTTGGTCGGGCAACTTCACCAAAATTTTGCAAAATTGCACAAAGACTTCATATACTAAACTACGGGTAATTTCTACAGGGCTTTCTTATGTCTTGAACATGAAATATGCACTTACACAGATTCACTAATGTAATTATCATTCTTGTAAGCAGAATTTCCAGGATTGGAACAATAGAAACTTACGGTGGCCAAACCATCGCCAACTATGCAAAATTTTCAAGAGCCAAGGTTTCAATCATTTTGGGAACATGAATGGAAAGAGCATGGGACGTGCTCGGAAAACATGTATCCCGAAGCTACATACTTCAGCAGGACTATTCAGCTTAGTGCCTGTTTGATAACATAAAAAGTGCTGAAACTGAATTCATTCAGACATTCAGATGTTGTGGGTGTTTGATAAATAAAAATTCACCTGTTGAACTTATTAAGTGGTGCTGAATTTGTATGTATTTTTTTCAGCACAAGAATCGTAGCTGAATGCTTAATTTGATAAGAATCAAGAGATTTACTTCAACTACTTTATCTTATCTAACAAATATATCCCTGTTTGTTAATTACATTCAAAATCCTTATCTAATTAAACAACCTCATACTCCCTATTCAAAATCCTTATCTAATTAAACAAAACAACCTGATATTTTCTATTCAAAATTTTTTTTAACAATAGTGTTTTTTTGCAGTAATTATCATTCACAAATATTTATATTTTGATATATTTTTTTTGTGCAAATAAATAATATTTATGTGATGCAGCTTATCCACACACACGTGGCTTTATGACACCATATCGAAATATTAGATATTGGTTGTCTGATTTTCGAAATGCTTCTCATCCAAGATCAAAAGAAGAACGCTTTAACCAAGCACATGCAAGATTGAGAAATGTAATTGAACGTGCTTTTGGAGTATTACAAGCTCGTTTTCTCATTCTCAAAACGATGAAACCATACCCTTTTCCCACACAAAGAAACATTGTCATTATATGCATTGCTCTTCACAATCATTGTCATTTTCATACCTAACAATTTTAAGTTAATTAAATCATAAGTTCTATTTCCTTTTTGGATTAAAAGATAGAAGGACAAAATTGTACAATTTAGCTTATTAAGCATTAAGTTATGAATATTACAATATAAATAGATTCAGTATTAAGATTCAGACATTCATATATCTCTTTTCAGTGCTTAAAATTCAGCAAATTAATTATTTCAGTATTCATAATTCAGAATTCAGAATTCAAAATTCAGATTCAGTGTTATCAAACGGAGCCTTAGTCAAATACATAATATTTTGAACTATCTCGCCACAGGCAATATATGTCCCGGCAGCAATCCTACCGTAAGTTCTGTAAATTCTACAATTTACAGAGCTATCAGTAACCATGTGCCAGATTTGATGTGTGTGACTCCTCCCCGTCAAACTCCTCCCCGTCAAACTCCAGCCTTGGTAGAAATTGGCATTTGTTTCACTGCTACTATGACAACGATTATTGATTGTCCTTCACAATTTCTGCGAACTGGGAGTTGTGGCACGATAAGTTTCCCTACATAAATCATCT